ATGCTGCCAATCTGGAGTCTCCATTTTGAGGGTATGGAAACTAACACCTGACTTCTGCCCAATCGGGGGCCTCCATTAACAGTAAGGCAGCTAACCCTGGACTTCTGACAAATCAGAAATCTCCAAGCTGGAAGGTGGAAACCAACCTTGGGTTGCTGGGCCTCCATAGCCTTCTTCCCATCCCATGCCCAGCTCCTCTTCGTGAAGTAGTTGACAGTGGCAAACTCAATCAGCGCTGAGAAGACAAAGGCGTAGCACACGGCGATGAACCAGTCCATGGCGGTGGCATAGGCCACCTTGGGCAGAGAGTTGCGGGCACTGATGCTGAGGGTGGTCATGGTCAACACTGTGGTCACACCTGGGGCAGACCACAAGGGGGCAGTATTACAAACAGATGCATGTTTCAGGTGAGTGTTAATGTATGCAAACATTATTTAATCCATTTATGCTGCCGGAGATTTTACTGCTTCTAAAGTTACTTCTACAGCAGATCCCTTCCTGGGACAGCATTCTATGAGACTGTAAGCCCATGCATTCACCAATAGTCTCAGACTCTATATCAGCATGTGCAATGGTGAAGCACCTTTACCCTGTTCTTTATTAATGACGGAAATCAGGCAGAATAAAAAATTCAATTTTATCATCTTCACCAGTCGATCCTCGTTTCTGTTTTAATGAGCATTCAAGTGCCGCTGGGCAGAATCAATCAAGAGGAAACAAACACTGACTTGATTAATGGAGTGAATTATGTCTGCTGATCCCGGTTTGGATCGGGTTCAGAGGAATACGTTCGCATTCCTCCTGGAGAGCCCACATCAGGGACTGATAAATCCGAACCATGGACACACTTTAATTTTTAACGACTTAATTAAAGTTCATCTTGGCCGGAATTTACAGCGACAGTGAAATGCAAGAAGACGCCAATAATTATTGTGCAGGAGAAACCCTTTCATTTTAGAACAATGATACCATTGTTCTGGACGATGCTACATTTGGGGCTGTAGTGTCCCTGCTGACGTCGAGGTACTGACCGAAGACGGTCCTCGCCGGCACAGACTCCCGGTTGAGCCAGAAGGACACCTGGGACAGGATGACGGTCATGAAGCAGGGCATGTATGTTTGGATCACAAAGTAGCCGATCTTCCTCTTCAGAAAGAAGCGCGCCATCATGACGGTGTACTGTCCTGAGGGCGGGAGGACGAGGTCAGAAGGACGAGAAAAGGGGGCGGAAGCAATGTTTAGGGAAGGAGGGCGTCCTGGACGGAAAGCATCACATCAACCAGCAGCAGAGAGCAGAGGCAGACAAGGCTGGACCCAGAGGGCAGGCATGGCTACTGCATCTGCTGACAACATGCAGATAGAGGCCTTGCTTCGGGGCTCGTTTGGGGCCTCATTTGGGGCTCATCTGTGGGCCTCATTTGGGGCTCGTCTGTGGGCCTCATTT